TGTGCATAAAATTTTCTTTTTTGTTTTTCTTTTTCCTTCCTTCTTTCATTTTTCTTTTTTTTTATTGTTTTGCTTTACTGTTTTTCCATATGTAAAATGAAAATTTATGACTTTTCTTGTCCTTTATTAATTTATGAGAAAATATTTTTTAGTACACATATATATATGTATTTTACATATGAATTATCCTCACACACAGATTAATATAAAGTTTACATAGAAATATATTGATGAAAATACTTTCATATAATATGTATATATACATATGTATTCATAAATAAAAAGGAACACATAAATTAGAAAGAGATGATAATCATTAAATTGAAATAGCAAGAAAAAGAGGATATCAGGTTCCTGGTTGTAGGTAACCTGTTATCGACGATTTTGACTTTTTTGTTTATATTTTTCATATTTTTCTATTTAAAATTCAAATTTCTATCTTTAAATTAACTGGAGGTGGTTTGTTACAAGTACAGAGGAGGATCTCGTAAATATTCATAAATATGTTTTGGTTCTTTTTTTTCTGATTTTTTTTTTCTTTTCTCTCATTTTGCATATAAAACTCAAATTTTCTCTGACAATGAAATATTATCCTTTTCTGTTTAGTGAGAAATTTTTAATAAATCAAATATTATACAATTACAAATATACAGTTCATTGAGTCTCCTTTGCTACTTTAATTTACCTATGTATATATGAAGTACATTTTTAGTTTTAGGATTCCATTTTGCATTTTCTTTACTTTTTTTATTTTGCTTTTTTTGGTAAATAATTGTTTATATATCGTAGACTTCAACTTTAGGCAAGATTTTTTTTCTTAATTTTTGATTTATTAATTTATTACTCATAAATCTGAACCCTATAAAATGTCTGTATACAGTTATATATGTATTTCATAATAAAGTGGGTATAAAAATGTGTAAAACATCCTAAACGGACATACGTGTATAAGGAACAAATACATATTTAAAGCTCAAAAAGGAAAATACTAAACGATTAAATCTTTTAATTAATCAATCAAAAAAGTTAAATTGGTTATTGCTATATTGTTAAAAAGTTATGGCTCTTATACTCGTACAACTTTGAAAATTTATTTTAACAAAGCAGCAATCACATGAAGGATGCGATTTGTTAGAATTTTAACAAATCTATGTCAATTATTACACTGAACAAAAATTGATTCACACAGAAAAAAATTAAATTTTAAACTATTGTCGTAATTTCTTTAAATATTTTTAAATTCAAAGTTAATTCATATTAATTTATTATGAAGTGAATTTCTTCTTCAAAAGTGTATGTATTCTTGTACTTACGAGAAAAAAAAAACAAAATTTCCTTGTAAATTTTTCTTAAAAATCGTCAAAATACAAATTATTATAATAAATTAATAGAATTAGCATGCCATTAAGCAATTATACGTTTAAAAAAATAGCAACTAGGTGTTAAATTGCAACTAATTTAATTTTCAAAACGCTTATAAGTATTTTCTGATCACGCTCAATTTGATTTAAAAATTTAGATATTTTGTGAATATTTTATATGTATATTTGTATGTACTCATGATTTTAAAAATTCATTTGAAGTAATATTCAATAGCATACGTTCTTTGCACAACGCTACACTATACTTAATTAAGAAGGGGAAATTTATTGAGAAAATTATATAATATTTTAATAAGAGTATAATAAGGAAAATGGAGGTTTCCTAATCAAAAATTTTTGATAATTGATAACTAAATAAAACCAGAATTCGAATATCTTTTAGCCTCTGTTTATTTATTTTACAATTCAAAAGTTGCATATCATACATTATTTTGAATCGATAAAATTATAATTATCATAAAATGACAAATTCAAACCAACCCTTTAAATAAATTTGTGTGCATACAGTTTTTATACCATGCTTTGAAAACAATTGCATGAATGCTTTTACGATCGCTCTTGATACTTACTTCCTATGCCTATATAATTTTAATAACAATTGGTCCAATCAGTAGCAGACTTTTGATTAAATTAGTGCACTGCAAAGTATTTTTAAAGTTGCATGGCAGCTGGTATAACCAGATGCTTATACTTATTTAATTATAGCTTAAAATAATATTAAATATTATTTATTTATTGGATAAATTAAAAGTTTGTATAAATTGTATCGTATATAAACAAAAATTTTTCCATAATAACTTAAATAACTTAAATTTGAAAAACTTAAGTTTAACTGGTTAATTTTTTACCGTCCGAATATCTTAATTTTGAAATTTTCTGTTCTGTTCTAATTTATATAATGTTATATTCAATTAGCAAATATCGAATAATGAAAATAACATAGTCGATTAAACAATTACCATATACTTAAAAACGATCATTAAACTTTCATTATTAAAATTTATTTTATTCGAATGGTAGTAGATTTTTTATATGTAATAAAGAATTCGATTGAAAATGTAATTATGTACTTATATGTACATATAAGTACATATATGTATGTACATATATGAAAATATAAATAAATTATTTTTGATATTCTTCATGCATATTTCGTTTATTTTGTATTGCCCTGGATATAAAGATAAGCAATGATTGAATATATGAATATGCGAGAAGACAGATCTATATTATGTTGTGTATATTATGAAAAATTTATCAAGCGCACATCATACTCACATTGCATATTATTAAAACATATACATATATATATATGTAAAATAACTCACGTTTTTTAGAAAGATGCCTTTAATAGGAATAGTTTTGAAAAACAAAAATAAAAGATTGTTAGCACACGTTTAAAATGATTAATTGAAAATGTGTAATGCATTTTAAATATAAAACAACTGTTTTCATGATTTATGAGTTTTTGCGATTTAAAAATATTTAATTTTAATTTTTCAATTAAAAATATTTGAAGGTGCGAAAAGCTATTTCATGCATAATATAAAATTATATGTAAATATGTATGTATGTAAGTTCATTAAGATGATGTTGGCAATCATAAAATTAAATTATGTACACCTTATGAACAAGAAAAGAGGTAAAATTTATTATGTATCACCTTATAGTTAAGTATTCTATATAGAGGAGAATTAAAAAAAGTGTTTTACTTAGTAAAAAACAAAAACTATATCTATAGTTTCTAAAAAATTTGGTAATAGCAAAATGGTACGATGATTGTTCTACCTGGGACGCTAACTACTCTAGACAGTGCAATCATTTCAACAAAATAACCGTCTTCTCCCCTACAATCTAGACTTTCCGCAGTAAATATAACCACTGAGGATCAAAATGTATAATTAAAAAATGATCGTATGGATCAAAAAATTTATTTCTTTACTACAGACTAGATTTAAATACTATATAATTTTGCTCTTATTATAAGTTTGTTAATCAAATATATCAACAATATATCAACAAAAACAATATGTGAGAACAGTTGAGTTTTATAGGTACCATATGCATTATTACTCTTATTATTATATTTAATGAACTTGATAAATAAAAACCTCAAAATGCAATTATTACTTTCATTTTATTAATTTCTTTGCAATCATAATAAAAATTTGGAATATCTAATATAACAGGTAGATTCCATTATTCTTGACTACTTTACGTTGTATTACAGTATACGGTTTTATCAAAGAGAACTTAAGATTTTCTGTATACATTGCGTTAAAAAATTATTTATTCTAAATTTCTGAAAATTTTAGGTATTTTAGCATAATGTTTTCTATGCTTTTCATTAGTGTACTCTTAAAAGTTCATTAATTAAGTAGAATTATTTACTTTTATAAACAATGTTTTGCTTTATGAGACAGATAAGGCGTTTAATATATAAAAAACTTATCAAATATTATTTAAATAGTTACCTTATCAAAATTATTTTGAAAAATAATTTTTTAAATCCAACCCTTTTTTTGTCTTTCTTAATTTCCTGATGATTTTCTGATCTAACTACAGTGTGCCGAAAATTAAAATGTTTTTCGTTTTTAGGTTCCACCTTTTTCTTACTAAATTATTACATACATATGTATTTATGTTAGGCAGTAAGGGGACAATAACTATAAGTACATAATATGTATGTATGTATATCTATGTACACACAAATAACTTCTAATAGGATGCTCATACTTTATCTCCTAAAGACTTAAAACTATTGCATATTAAAACAACATTGGATCTTTGAAATTTACCGAATCACTTACTCTATTTGTTTAGATTTGATTACATTCATTTAATATTGTGTTTTTTAATATAAATTATATAATTCACAAAATATTTTTTTTATTTGTAGTTTTAAAGGACTAATCAAACAAATGTAAAAAAACAAAATACATATGTATGTAATTTATTCAAAGATAAAATAAATATTTTTATATAATATGGTTGCCTACATACATATGTATGTATATAATGTACTTCAGTTGCTTTTGTAGGTCTACAATCTTTATTACTTCTTTTACGCACTAATATTTTTGTTTACCTACTTTAACAATAATATTTAAATATTTTAGTCACAAGAACGGCACACCAAGGCACTGCAAGGAAAATATTTAAACTTCTGATTAAAGATACAAGCAACCGCATTAAAAGTTTTTAATTAACATGGAATTAAATTGATAATTTTATTAAGTTCCATTCTTTTTATATTTATAATGCAAATGCAAACAATATTATTAAATTTTTAAAATGCGCTATTACAATGATTTTTTTTAATGTTTATTCATGCACAATTATAATTATAATTTTTTTTAACTTCTTTTTAAAACGCCGATTCTGATTGTTTAAATATTTCTGTAACAAGGTAACCTTTATCGTTTAATTACACAAGGATTGAAATTTTTTAATCAAAAGACTTACTTACATATTATGTTTTTTTATTCGTAAAGTCGAGCATAATTTATTTTGAAAAAAAACCTATGAATAATGTGATGTATGTAGAATAGTACTAAAATAATATAATAAAATAACAGTACTAAAATAATATATATATACATGTAATATGCATGTATAATTTTTTATATAATTTTATATATACACATATATGTGTATATAGGCTTAAAAACTAATTCAACCTACAAGAACTTCTTATTTTGTGGAATTTTTATTTAGAGAAGCAACCAAAATGAAGAATTTTTCCTAATTTGTTATATATATATATATATGCATGTATGTATGTAGGCTTAAAAATTAATTTAAAAGAATGAAATTACAATTAATATACAACTTGTTCACTAGCTTTGATTTTACTTAATGTAAATTACTTCCGGTGAAATTTTTTGAAAAGTTTAGAAAGAGTTGCACTTTATTTCGATATATTTTTGTTTCTAGCTATTTTAACTCTCAAAATTAAAAGTTATGTTCCCCAATTGCACATTAAGGAAGATTATTTGCATTATTTGAAAAAATTTGTGTTTGATTTTTTACTATTTGTTTTGTACTTTTTTTGTATGCTGTATTATTAAAGTGCTACAAATTGGTGATTACTTGATGAATACGTACATATAATACATATATATTACTAAATTCTTATTATTATATGACTCAAAATATTTTCGTAAATCAAAAAATTAAAGGTTTAAAAGAAAACTATTAAAACTTCCGGTTGTAAGACTTAAACGACAAGCTTAAAACAACCAAATCTGCATATACAACATTTTTGTGTATAATGTGTATAATTTAATTCTTTTTTTAAATAACATAAAAACAAACAATTTTAAAGAAAATTATGATCAGAGATATTTTGTGATCAAAGCTTCAAGTTAGGATTAAATAGAAATATGAAATAACAGCATAGCTTTACAAGCTTCAAAACGTGTTATTTTGGAAATTAGTCACTCTACTGTTTTATTACATTACTGGGATAAATAGAAAAAGTTTTTATACTTACATTCATACTTAATATGTACATCTGTACATATGTATGTATATGTTCATTTTTTCAATTTCCAAAAGTAAGAAATTAAGAAGTATTCAGTTGATCAATAACGTCAAGTCCAACAAATCAGTAGTCAGAATTCATTTGAAAATATTAATATTTTTTTTAATTAACTGAAGAGTCTCAAAACTTTATCCAAAAAGATGTATGTATGTATGTACATATGTATTTTTTAAATACATATGTATGTAGGTCCAACCTACAAGAACTTCTTATTTTGTGGAATTTTTATTTAATGAAGCAACCAAATTGAAGTGTTTTTCCCTAATTTTTTGTGGAAATATTAAAATTTTAGGAAACAAAATTATTTTTTAAAAAATTATAAATTTTGCTACTTCAAATTATTTAATTTTTTTCTAGATTTATACATACATACATGTTTATGTATGTAAAAATGCAATATTTTTTAAATTATTTTATTTCTATTACAAAATATTCTACAATAATACAATCATCAAAAACTTACTTTGATTAATTTATGCTATAAAATTTTTGAAAATCAATTTTGAATATTCCAAAAATTCACTCTTCCAACAAGTTTAACTAGTAATTAACAGTTTTTAACGTTAAACAAATTAAATAAATTGTGGTATCGCTTTTTATGCGAATGTTCTACCAATTCCATAAAGTATACTATGTATGTATGTATACTATGTTCATTTTTATGTAATTCAAATCTTGAGCAAAAAATTGTATGAAGTTTGAAATTTAAATGAAAATCAAACCATAAATTTTGAAGTCAAAAATTACAAAGCCATAAATTACATATGAAACTTACAAGATACATATATAATTTTTTAAATTTTTATAAACAATTGGTAGATAGGTAGGCAGATATACCTACCTACTTTAATTTCCAAATAAAATAAATGAAATTGACAATTAATGTGGCTTAGCATATTCCGGCATTGGTATATTAAATCCGTCCTTAGTTTCAAAAAATGTGTAAGATAATGTTATAGTGTCAACTAATTCCATCTTAGGATCATCAACAAACTCCGGATCAATATAGAAGAATACTGGCATATCAACCTTATATAAACAATTTTTAAAAATTATTAAATTTCAAAGAAACTTAAAAGTGAAATACCTCTTCGTTGGGATTCAATTGTTGTTCTTCAAAACAAAAACATTGAATTTTATTGAAATATTGTCCAGCTTCAAATGGAATTACATTGTAAGTGCTAATTCCAGTTACAGGTTTATCTGTTGGGTTTCTTGCAGTATAAAAAGCTAAAGCTGTTTCACCTGGCACTACTTTAATTTCATATTGTTGCGGCTTGAAGTTCCATCTCATTGATGCGCCCAGATCAGCGTTAAATTTTATTTTTAATTGTCGATTTTCTATCTTTTTCATATGTTCAACTTTTGCTACATCATGACCTTTGGAAGTCGTTCCACCATAACTGTATGCCTAAAATTAGAGATTTGATAATTAAATTAAAACAAAAATTGGGAAGTGAAGAAATTTCCAAAAACTGTAACCTATGTAAGTAATACAAAATTACCTTGCATACTAAACATGCATTAAATATTTGATTTCATCTATTGTAATAAGTAAGTACCCACTATTTACTAATTATAATATAGTACTTGGAAATTTTAATGTATGCCTATAACCTAGCTACATTGTAAATGTAAAAAAATAAATTTAGAGACTATCACTCACCTGGCAAAACATTCTATAAAGGGGCACTGCCGCATAGCTAAAACCAGCAACTAAAACACCGGCAGCAGAAACATAATACAAAGTTGATTTAATGTTTCTTTTTCGTGCATCTCCATCACTTCTATTAAAATTATTTTGAAAATTTGTTTTTGTTTGAAATATATTCCTTTTCTTTATACTAAAAAATTGATTTATCACACTTTTATTGCATATTATATACCTAGACAATTTTTGTAACATTTTAATATTTATTCAATATTTTATATAAACGTCTATATTGATTTATATGTTTTAAATACAAAATAAAAATAGAGTATTTGTTTCATAACTTAATAAATTCAACACAATTGTACCAGTAATGATGCATTTTGTTTTTAAATGACAAAAGTAAGGTTATAATTAATTGTTTTTAATTTTCGCTGCCTTCAAATGTCAAATATTTACAGACTGTGCAGATATAAACAACAGCTTCCACATGCTACATGCGTTACACATACGTTAAGTTTTCAAGCAAAAACATTCGTTATTTGGCAGTAAGGAAATATAAGATGACACCGTTTTTTTACCGGAACTATCGAACTCAAATACTAGGCCCGGAACAAAAATTAAAAAATTTCACTTATATTAAAATAAACAAGTCTCCTTTATTTTCGAAAAAGTCAGAGCAAATGTTAAAATTAGTAAAGTAAAATTTTTCGCAAAGGTATACAAAAATTTTAGTAAAATATAACCCTTAAAGGTTACTATTTTTGAATAAGATAATTGAATTTTGTCTACAGAACGTTCGGAATATTCTGAATAAAGAAAAAAACTTTACATATTTTGACATATTGAGAAAATGGCAAGAGATGAATGATGATTTTGACGTATTTAGAAAAGATGAATAAACGAAAACGCTCTCTAATAGCTTAACATAGTTAAGTAAAAACTACAGTGTCAAATAGATTCATATTAAAAATTAATTATAATTTGACTTCTTTACTGTTCAAAAGATTTTAAACGCTTCTAAATTTCTTTCTACTTCTTTTTTGACAATTATTTTTTGGTCACGGAAAAAACTCAAAAATAAATTGTAGTTGAAATTTTCAGTTAAAAATATTCAGGTCCTTGTCAATATTTGATAGAAGTGAAATAAAAAAGCTGGCAATTTTTCCAAAAGCAAAAAAAGAACTCTTTTTCAGAAATTCAAAGTCAAATATTGACAACGGCCGCTTTTTTTCTTAAAATGGTTTCAATTAATAACGAAAAAATGTCATCTGCGAACATGTTAATTTAGTATGAATTCAATTTTCGATAACACCTCGCACGAAGGAAAAAAAACTTGTTATTTATTCTGTTATAGTGTGAATAAAATATTAAAAAAATAATACTAAGTGATACAAACTTATTGAAACGCTACATATTTACATTTTATCAAATGACTATTGTGAATTTTTCCATCTTTACAGAAAAAGTACCATTATCAAATTTAGCAAAAGTCATACGTTACTATGGTTGTAAAACAATTACAAACAGAATTTCAGAATATATACATATTCTAAAACAACCTAAATTTTATGGATTCCTACAAGATATTTTACTAAATAATAGGAATGGACTTCAGTTTGGATGATCCTTTAGCTGACTTAGTTAGTGATAATTCTAACGACAGCTTCTTCGAGACATCTAAAAAACCTCCACAAACAGGTTTAAAAGCCAAGGATGGCACCAAACAACAAAGTACAGAAAATCAAAGAGGCTTTACGTCTGCTAAAACAATGGAAGATTTATTTGGAATTCAATCTTCCATACACTCAACAAAACCTCAAGGGGAAATACTCAAATCTACTCCACCTTCATCTCTTAGTATTAAAAAACCGATAATTTCCAGAACTGAACCAAGTAAATCGGGTGATATCTTTGTTGAAGGTGATATAATAGCTGATTTAGGTTTTGACCCAAAGAAGCCTAAAGGTAGTAAATCAAGTATTCTTGACGATTTACTTACTTCAATCGATACGTCGAAAATTACACAACCTGCCCTAAAATATTCTAGACCTTTGACGGCAGCAGGTGTAAATGCCCCGAAAAATATATCAAGACAATCAACAGAAACTGATAACTCCGGTCCTGGTACTTCTCAAGGAACTTCTTTACCAACTACTAGACCAAAAACATCTGTGGGACGCCGACAATCTGTTAATTCTGGAAATGACCCATTAGGATTGTTTACAACTCCTCCAGCAGGGTCAGTCAAAGATCAATCTTTTGAATCTAAAGTAGATTCTAATAAGGAAATTTCATTTAAAAGCAAAGTGAAAAGTTTAAATCCAGATTGGCTAGGTCTTGACCTGCAATCTTCAATAAAAAAACCGGAATCAAAAATATCAACTTCAGAGCCACAAATATTACAAGTCAATCAAACCGAATTACCTAAAGCAATATCTTCCGTATCATATTCTCAGCAAGAGTTTTCCCAAATAAATGCGAATCCGACCTACAATAATCAAAACACAATTGCAATAGTGGCTGCAAATATGGAAACTCAAAACGCTATTCAAACTCTTAATCAACAAGAATCACAAATTTTAATGGCAGCACAGTTAAAAAACCAAGAGAGAGCACTTCTTGAAATGCAGAAGAAACAACAAGAACTACTAAATCAACAAGAGCTTAAATTCAATGAATTATTGAAAAATCAAATATCTAGGCAAAATAATTTAGAAACAACTATAAAAGCGCAACAAGAACGTATTAATGCTCACATTCAAATGCTAATGACGCAGCCTCCCCTTCTTTCAGATACTGCAGAAATGAAAATATTTCAAAATAATGAGAATAAGAAAACTGATTTAATAGCAGAAAATGAAAATCACGAAAATCAAATTCAATTTGAACATGATGTGAAGCGTTTGGAACTAGAAAAGCTTAGACTTGAAGACTTAATATCAAATATAAACATAAATCACGAAAAAGAGCTTGAACTCATAGAGAATTCCCATAAGTAAGTAGCTACCTACCTTTATAAAAATTCATATTAAAACTACATATTTATTCTTTTTATGTTTTTCTTATTATTTTGGTAACTAAAATATAGGAAACAGATTCAGCTATTAGAAGACAATTTAGAGATTGTTGAGAAACGTTTACAAACGGAAATTATTTCTTTACAAGAATTTTATTCCAAGAAATTAAACGATATTGAGGTAGAAAAACAGAAATTAGTCAATGAATATGAGGAAAAACTTAGGAACTTAAAAGAAAATTATGAAAAAAATATCGCAGACTTAAAATTAGATTATGAGAACTCGATTGAAAATCTTAAATCTGATCATAAATCTACTATTGAAGCTATACGTGAGTCTAAATTAATGGAATTTGCAGTAGTTCAGGACAACGCATCATATTTGCAAATTCTTAGAAATGCGTCGACTAATTTAGAAAACGTTTCAGGAAATTTACAAAATCTAAGAGATGAAATGTATAACAAAATAGACTTAGAATACAAAGAAAAAGAAGACAAACTAATGCAAAAAGAAAAAAAATTAAATGACTTAGAACGACGTTTAAAGATTACACAAGAGTCATCTGACAAAGAAAAATCTCGCTTAATAGAACTAGTAACTACGCTCGAAATTCAGCTTCAAAAACTATCACAAGATTCTGCTGACGAGAAATGGAACATAAAGCAAAAATTATCGGCATTAGAAATAGAACGTGAAGCATTTGAGCGCGAAAAACTCTATATTAGGGAACAGCTAACCCGATCTGAAAAAAAACTGGAAGATTTAAAAGAATATCAAGTTGAGGAATATCGTAAACTATTGGAAAAAGTGCAAGATGAAAAAAAATTGTTGGCAATTGAAAAAACTAAGTTTGAAACTGCTAAAAAACTGGATGAAGATTGTGGCTTAAATCGATCTAGAGCAGAAATAGATATAGCAATCAAAGTGGCAAAAGAAGCTACCAAACAAGCGGATGTGGAGCGTGAGCGTTTCCTAAAGTCACAAAGAGAATTGGAAATTCGTAAGAGGGATTTAATTGATCAAGAAAATGAACTTCGCTCAAAAGGAGAGGAGTTGGAATCTGAAATTCTAAAAACAAAATCTAAGGAACGAAAGGTTCGCGAAGCATTGCAACGCCAAAAATACATTGAGCAAAGCTTAACTGCAAAAGTACAATTTTTGCAAAACCAAACCAGAGTTCTTTCCGAGCGTGAAACACAATTGTCTCAGGAGAGATTATTGCTATCAAAAGAGCGAATAGATCTTCAAGAACTTAAGAAAAAAGTTGAACTAAGTAAATGTAGTCTTTGCAAAATCGGAGAAAGAAGTATTGAAATTTCAAATATTATAACAGGAAATGATATTTTACCTGATGCAGAAAATTATTTAACTGAACTTAATTTCGCTTACAATAATAACTTTACTCACAATATTGACCAACTCTTTGATAAGGATGTGGCAGAGTCTTTAATAAAAATGGAACATATAAATAAAAAATTCAACAATGAGTTAAACAACGACGACGATAATGTGCTTAACCAGAATTTAAACACTCAAAATTTCGACCTTGCTCAACCACAAGGGTTTCTAGATCCTGAGTTCTCTGCTATTGACTTAAATTCTAGATTATCCAAAATTGATGAATTTTAAAATTTTTGCCTTTTACATACATTTATGACTGAATAAAAACATAATTAGAATTATTCTAATAAATGATTATCAATTTAATATTATGAAAATTATATTGTAAAACTTTAACTTTATAATGTGAAAGTGAAGCCTGAAAATTTACTTTTTAAGTTAAATGTAATAATGTAATAAATATTATTCCTAGAGATAACTTTATACTAAACGTCAGTGTATTTAAGTAAATATTTTCCATAATAATGAATTTATATTTTACAAAATTAATACACATATAAACATACATAAAATTTTTAATATTAAAACTAAATTAAAAGTTTATATTATACTATTAAAGGACTACTAAGGTGAATCTATTGGTTCGTCTCTTTTATGAGTTAAAAGCTTAAAACTTGCCAGTACTTTTTTTCAAAACATTTTAATTAAAAATAAAATAAAATAAATAAAATGAATTCAAAAGTTTCGCTCTTTTATAGACCAAAATCAAAATTTCTGGTTTTTTGCATTACCAAAAAATATTTGTTTATGTTTATATTTTGAAATTTTTTCGACTTTTCCGCCTGGTTTATTTTTTCTTTTAAATGAGATTTTTTTCTTTTTGCGAGAAATTACGTATAACAATCTCTTTTTAAAGTTTTTTCAAGTTTTATGCTAACAGATCTCACCTATTATTTCCATCTGTACAGCGTATACACAAATTGAAATTTCAAATAAAGTACTCCATCATCAATATAAACAAAGTTGTTGTTAACGAAATAATTATTGATACTGGCACTGCTCCGATTCTGCAGCTTAAAGCGAAATAATCGAAGATTAATTATTATATAAATTGCAAAGTTAAAAGAAATAAATGTACACATTTAATCTTGAAAGAAGTTTACTTTCAATTCACACAAAGCCAATGTCACGCATCAACTATTCAACTTGGTCCTCAGCACGTTGAATTCAATTGTTAGTGGACTAGTTGATTAACCATTTGATAGTTGAAACTTGGTTGAAGAAAATATTAAAAAATTTAATTTTTTTGAGCGTAACCTTGTATGTTGTATAAAATTCCATCTATAGTTTTGAAATAAATTGAAATAATGTGGAAATGTGACTGCTTATGTTAGTGAATGTGTTTTTCAACGTGGTGGAGGACCAATTTGAATACTGGAAGAGAAACTTAAGGCTGTGTTTTTTTTTTACTCTTGACTGCAAAACGTAAGACAAAGAAAGTTTAAATAACGCAATGAATTCAAGATTTATTTTAATTCAGAAGTTTATTGTGAATTCAACAAGAAACGAATGAGTTTCACTTTAAAACTGTCAAAACCGTTAAGCATATGCCAATATTTTACCTTATTGTATAAATAATTTATTTTGACAGTCGGCAAATCGTAAATAATCAACTATTTTTGTCATATTTAGTAAAAAAAAATAACAGAGGTCATATTGTGAAAATTTTTTTTTTACAAAAAAGATTTTAAGGTATATTTCATATTATATTTCATACAAGGTATATTTATTGTTTATTTAACAATGAATACTACTCGTATGAACGAACATAAAAATATTGAATTGTATCTTTATGTAAAGTTTATTATTTTGCAGAATGTCGGACACTTCACAATTTACCCAATCACAATCTCGTTCAGGTGACAGAGATGTTTATCAACAATCACAATTTCCCATTGGCAGCGAACAAGTTCAACCCAGACATCAGTTCTCATATTCCCAACCTTCAACGCAAGGACAAAAACCACAACACCCTTTAGCTAATTATCAATTTTCTTCCGAAGAATTAAGGGTTTTAAGAGAATGCAATACGGAGTCATTTTTCCAACGTTGTATACCATTTAGCGCAGTATTTGGCCTTGGCTCACATTTAGCAGTCAAAAATGGTTTTCTGACACCTAATCCTAAATATGGCTCGATTCCAAAAGTTGTAGTAAGTGTAATTATAGGCTATTTTCTTGGCAAAATCAGCTATCAACAAAAATGTGCTGAAAAAATGATGCAATTACCAAACTCAAAATTGGGAGAAATTTTAAGACAAAAAAAGCAAGGGGGCATTGTGGGTTCTTTGCCGAATCAAGGCATGGGAACTCCCGGATTCGGTTTAACGCCGTTCTCAGCTGCTCCAAACAACGACGTCTATGACGATACACATTTAAAAGATAAGCAAACTAGATCAAATGCGTTGGACTTGGATACTGAAAGACCTACTTTTAGTTTAGATGATAGTCAAAATTTTGGTGATATTGGCAATCAAAATGAAACTTTACCTTTAGAACCTCCTAAAAAATTGGTAACTTACGAGGAGCTTAGAAAAACTAATCGGGATAATTACTACAAAAGAGCGCAAAGTAATGCACCAATTATACAAGATTCACCGAGTGTAATAAGAACAAGAGAAATTCCACCGTCAACAAGTAATAGTGATGAAGCACAAAATGAACCGATAAAGCCAATGAAGAAAAATCAATATGGCGACGTTTGGTCGCAATAATAATACTATAGAATTTTGAAAATGCAAATGGAAATTGTTCAACCTTAGAAAAACTAATCGTCTAATAACGAATGTTATAAAAAATTTATATTTCTTAGATATTTATGTATTTAGATATATTCATCATATATCTAAAGCAGTTATAATTTTTAATTACACAAAAATAAACATTATGTAGGAACATGTAATATGTAGATAGTTTCTTTCTTTTTTGTTTTAATTAAGATGCCATTTACGAAAAGGTACCTCTATTTAGTAAATTTATTATCCTAAAGTCAGAAAACAAATCTTTAAAAGTCAAAATTCAAATTAATAGGATTGAATATTTAACTCAATTTTCTCCTTTCAATAATTTAAATATCAGTTTATTAATTAATTACATGAATTATGTACTACCTATACCAAATAAATATAACAAAAAATTTAAGAATTCACCTTCTCAGGAGAATAACTACAATATAGAAAATAGAAAAAAATTTTTTCAAATATGTACCATTAAACAATAATATAAAAAAATTTATTAAATTTATAACAAGGAATCATCCACTTCTATTTTTAATTTACAAAAGGAAAAAATTTAAATTTTATACAAAACTATCGAAATATAAAATGTAACAGAATAGAAATTATTAAAACAATCACGGCTGAAGCTATTCCAATATACATTACTTGTCCATATCCTTTTGCATATTTAGACTGACGATTGGAAGTGTTTGGTATTTTACTTATTCCAAAACTGTCATCATCAGGATACCCTTCAACTGCATCATTAACATTATGTGTTTCAATTTCCAAATCTAAGATAAACTTTGCTTGCGATGTAACAACAGACGGAGACTCTCCTCGAAATATATAATCGCAAAATTGAATACCGTTATCATCAACTTTGTTGAAAAACACTCTTCTAGGGGGCTCATTTATTACAACGGCGTCATTAGATGCATTAGGATCAATCAAACCATCACAATACACCTGTATCCGGGAACACATTGATCGCATAATATCAGTTCTTATAAAATCATAAATTTCCTTAAATGAAGATTTTGGATGAGCCCAAACCCTTGATGCTATTATTCCAGAATATCGAATTATTCCATCAAATTGTTCAATTAATACCTTCTCATCCAAAGCAGTTGTTGTCAAAAATATACTGGCTGATATCCCCTTTGTCTTATCGTATTTATTTTGACATTTTTTCAAATAGTTTTCCAAAATAATACCATCTTCGACTGGTTCGTCTTGTACAAAAATTTTGCTATTATTAACATACAAGTTGATTGCTTCGAGTGTAGCCTATAAAAATATAAATTTAATTCAAAACTTTAAACCAAGTTAAAATAGTTGACCGTGAAATGTGTTTCAATATTGAGCTTTTCGTTGCTTTCAGCGATAGGGAAAATTTCGTCTAATTCATAATTTGTTTCAAAAAAAATCCATTCGGTAAGCTTATCAAGAAAAATACATTCTGCCGGAATCAAAGTGTTTCTAAAGTGAGTTGCAAAATTTTATACAAAAAATATGTACACAAATTTATAAATTTTACTAACTTGTCCTTAGGGTCATAATATTTACAATCTAAACTTTTTGTTGCAGAATTATAGAACATTATTAATTTAGTCGATCCCATAGTTGTTGAAGTACCGTAAAGATATTTATTTCGTCTAAATAGTCTTTAAATAAATATGATTTAAGCCATGTGGGTGGCATAAAAATATATGGTACTTACTGGCTTATGTCTGACAAAATTGCCATTATTTTATCTGTTTTTTCTTTATTTTTGTATATGTCAGAATCATCAACGAAAAATACACCTTTAATTAATAATCATTTAAAATATACATATATTATAGAAAGTAAAAATGTTTTATTACCCAAAACGAAAAAAGATCCTGGAATCATTTTTATAAGACTCATCACTTGATGTGATAATGAAGTACTATCTAAATCATCAACAGATTGAAAACAGATATGGCTAGAGTTATGTTCTGGAGTTGTTTCAGAGACTTCAATTTCTTGCTCCGTTTCATTGCAATCTGAATTTTTTGCCAAATGAATTACATAATCTTTGTTTTGGATATTAGGCTTAAATTGTTCAACATGAAAAAATATTTAATACAGTTTAAATTGAAGCAAAAAAAAAATTGTCGTCGTGTACTTGATACTCACTTGTCCAATAACAAGACCGAATGAAAATTTTCTTTCAGTTCCACATTTTTCTAAATATTTCTGAATGTTCCTATGTGCTATAATTGTTCGCATTTTAAAAAAAATAATTTATTTCCAATAATAAAATTTAAAACTTTCTTTATTCACAATTAAAATTCAATAAACATTTCAATCTATTATGTAGATTAGAATATGATGATATGTCACAATTTTATATTCACATTGACAATCTGTTCTGACATTCTGCAAAGCAAAATGTTACCTAGGTGTGTTCATTTTTTTATTTGACATAACAAAAATTTCATTGAATTTTTAAAATCGTGAATTGTGACCTTTTAGTATTCAGACCTATCAGTCGTGATTTTTTCATGCAAGTTGTAAACCATAATACATCAAATCCAGCGTAATACAAACCAGCAATCAAACTTTTCTAAAACTAAAGTCTTAATAAAATAGTATAAAATTAGCAATATATAAAAGAAAAGTAATTTTTTTAATATAATTTTCGTGTGCGTATTTCGTGAAAATTTAACGGAATTCTATTTAAAAATAATTTCAGTGCTAATTTTCAATTTTTTTTTTTTGTGAATGTTCTGCTGCAAAACAAGTTAGTGTTTTTTATCAAGGTTATTATACAAATTTAATAGACAATGTTTCCTAAAATTGATATTTCGAGATTTATGCAAATTATTTTTGATATTTGTATTGGCTTTCACAAGATGTTAACAGTACATATTAAAACTGAAACTCAGTAATTTTTTGACAAAGTCAGAGTATGAATATGTTAAAATGAATATAGCTTGTCAAAAAATTAAAAAATTTTTGTAAAAAAAAAGGCAAGTTCTCGGAACAAAGCTTGTTATATTTTACTCAGGTAACCAGTTAAAATTTAATACTGTCTCGTTCTATGTGCATACTAACAAATTTTCACCAATTTAATCCTAGGGAAAAACTTTTTAAGATCCAACTTAAAAATTAGGTTATCAATTTTCAATATAATTCTTGAGGTTAATATTACAACTAGATAGCTCAAAAATTTTATATAAACCTAGGCGTCATAGAATCGAATGCTCTTTCATCTAACGCCAATATCTAAAATTAAAAGTGTTTTAAATATCTGAAAATTATAATGTCAAAACTAGATATCTTCATGATAAATCAATTTAATTGCTAAATTTTGTATCTTTAAAAGTCAATATGTTTAAACCAATAAATGAGAGTTAACTAGTTAACTAGATTTCAACATTTATTTCAGTATCATCTACATTTCTTTAGCAATTACCAACTAAATAGACCACAAAATAAATTTACCAAAGGCGCTTCTTATTAAAACTAAGAATTTTAAGTAATAAAAAGTAATGATTTTGTGTGTATGTATTTATTTATCCTAATTTAAGCAAAATTTTTCTATTTTCCACATGCTATGACTTTTGACACGTAAAAATTCATTATTACTGCAAGCAAAGTTCTACGGCAGCACTACTAATTCTTATTTTCCATTAGTCATATCCCATCATCGCCCAAGTGTTGTGCTGTCATTCTTGAAAAATTTTTATGCATTTAGTTAAAAAGTAAATTTTTTCTATTCTATTTATAATTGAATTTAAGCACAAAAATGGAACCTTATGATGTGATAGTTAATCAACCAGTTGTTATTGATAACGGATCTGGCGTTATTAAGGCTGGTTTCGCTGGTGACCATGTTCCAAAATGTCGCTTTCCAAATTACATTGGTAGACCGAAACATTTACGGGTTATGGCTGGTGCCTTGGAGGGTGATTTATTTGTGGGGCCAAAAGCTGAAGAACACAGAGGTTTGTTAAGTATCCGTTATCCAATGGAACATGGAATAGTTACCGATTGGAATGACATGGAGCGGATCTGGAACTACATTTATAGTAAAGATCAATTATCGACTTTTTCCGAAGAGCATCCAGTATTATTAACAGAAGCTCCTCTTAATCCTAGAAGAAATAGGGAAAAGGCTGCTGAAATATTTTTTGAAACTTTAAATGTGCCTGCTCTTTTTGTATCAATGCAAGCTGTTCTTAGTTTATATGCTACAGGGCGTGTTACAGGTGTAGTTTTAGATTCTGGTGATGGAGTTACACATGCTGTTCCTATATATGAAGGATTTGCAATGCCTCATAGCATTATGCGAGTCGATATAGCTGGACGGGACGTAACTCGCTATCTAAAAGCGTTAATAAGAAAAGAAGGTTTCAATTTCCGTACCACTGCCGAATTTGAAATAGTAAGATCGATAAAGGAAAAAGTTTGCTATTTGGCTAGTAACCCTCAAAAGGAAGAAAATATTGAAACAGAAAAATTCGCATATACATTACCAGATGGAAAAACATTAGAAATTGGTCCAGCAAGATTTCGTGCTCCTGAAGTATTATTTCGACCAGATTTACTTGGTGAAGAATGTGAGGGCATTCATGATGTACTTATATACTCTATTGAAAAATCTGATATGGATTTAAGAAAAATGTTGTATCAAAATATTGTGCTATCAGGAGGTTCTACTTTGTTTAAAGGCTTTGGTGATAGATTATTAGCAGAAATAAAAAAACATGGGCCAAAAGATTTGAAAATTAGGATTGCAGCACCACAAGAAAGGTAAAAAAAGATTACATTTTTGTATATTTATTTATAAATATAAAATTTAACTTTAAGATTATATTCAACATGGATGGGAGGCTCTATTTTAGCATCTCTGGACACATTTAAAAAAATGTGGATTTCTAAGAGAGAATATGATGAAGAAGGGCATAGAGCAGTACATAGAAAGACATTTTAATTTTAAGTAAATTTTATTTTTTCTATTTCAAAATAATTTATATAACACAAAAAGAAAAAAAACAATTTATATAATTAAAATAAAACAAAATAAAAATCATATATTTATTAACAAAACCTACTGATTTTTTTAGGTTAAAAACGCTTTCAATAGGAATTATATAGAAATTTTTACTTTGTATGTATTTATGTATAATATCAATAAATTCTCAATTTTTGTTATAAGCATAATCAAAATTTTCTACGTTGTTTAAATATTTTGAAGCTTGAATAAATTTTATTTTTGATAATTTCCGAGTTCACAAATTTACTATTTTTTTTCGTATTGATTTTAGGAAAAATAACGAAATATATATTATGTATCTCAATAAAGTAAATAAATTATATAAGTTTCTAAGATTTTAGAAAAAAAAAACATTCAAAATATCAGCCAGTAATTAAAGTCGATTTACTTTGCTAAACAAATCAATGTTTTTTATTTTTACCTGCCCAAATTACCGTTTTTAATTACAGAGTACATGCATACTACAGAGCTGAATGATCTGAGGTGTGTTAAAAATAAATCAGGAATGATGCAATATAAGTATGAGTTGTGTTCACGGTTATGTTAATACATATTTGTTGACATTTTAGTAAGAGTTGTTTTTTTCCAAAATGATTAAAATAATTAATATATATATGTATCGTAATTTGTAGTGCATGTTTCTTTCCAAGCCAAAGAAAATTATACGAAATTTTTTAATATCTATACCTATATATGTATGTATGTAGAAAGTTTTGTTAATGTTTGAAGTTACACATGTTTAATAAACCACATTAAAAATTTATATAGGAAATTTTATCGATTTCTATGCGTTATATGTCTTCTATTCCTTATTCTTTAAAATGTAAAACTTCGAAGTTAAAGGATAAATTCATAGCAAATTTTTAATATGCTAAGGTTAAAGGTACTTACATTAAACAATATTCTCTTAAGAAAATGCTTTGCCAAAAATTTAAATACGTTTGTTTTCAATATAATTTAAATTGAAATAAAAAATGCTATTAAAATTTTAATATACTCATTTTTATTTTATTATTTTGGTTTTACATTCATATAAATATACGTACTTTTATATATATAAGGATATATGTACATATATGTACATAATATTGAGAATAATAATCTCTAAAATCTAAAACTATAATCTAACACAATTAATTTTTATTTTCGCTTGAGTGAAAATAACATTATGTATGTACTTAATTAATTTAATGTTGTATAATATTATATAAACTTCTCAATTAAATTATTTTTAAAAACTCTAAAACTTTTTGTTTTTAAGGAGCAAAAGGAAGCTTTATGGATTTGTGAATTACTTCTATTTACACATCAATTACATCAATAATTTTGCAATTGATCATTCAAATGATACAGAAAAAAAAAACTAATTTATTGAAACAAAAACTTTTACATTTTAATAAATTAATTTAATACATATGTGAATATAAACATAAGAGTTTTTGTCATAAAATTTTATTAATAAATATTGAGATAACATTAATAATTTGTTTCAAATAAAAAATTATAAAATACAAACTTTACTTTGATCATGAGAGCTACTGTTAAAATAAATGTAGTTACTTTATATAAATAACAAAAATAATTCAAATGCACTAAATTTATTCTTCTTTGTTTTACTTCCACTTTTGATATAAAACCTTTAACTAAATAAAAAATATTATTTTTTTGTTTTCACATTAAATTTACATGTATAAGTTAATTCCAAAATATTTATTTTCAGTTGATTCTTTCAATTTCCTTTAAATTTTAAACAGTAACTCTCCAATCATAATTTTTTACTATTTTATTATTATAATACAAGATTGTATTGTATGCATATTTTTTTCATAATATTATAATATATATATATATATTGATCACGTTGAACTTTATACTTAAATATTTTTTAAATAGTTTTAATATAATTTAATGAAAAAAAAAATAGTAATTTTACGAATGCTTATTACTTTCATATGTAATTTTATTATATTTTTAATAACAATGTCTAAATAAATATCAATTTAGTTTCAATTCAAATTTGGCACAAATAATTGAATATAAATTAACGCAGAAATTTTTTCATAAATTACAGGACAAGATAAAAAACAAGAACAAATTTCAAACTCAAAAACAAAAGAGATTTGCAAAAATTTCGATAATTTCAATTACAAACATTTAATTTGATTTTTTTTTGTTTTATTCCAATATAACTTTTGAACATACTTAAAAACAGAACTTTTTAATACTTATGCTTTTCGCAATTACTAACAATATAATAACGAAAACTTTTACAATTTCTTATAACATGTTTTTAGTTCATTTTACATCTTTTTTCTTTTGACTTTCCATGATAAAAAGACACAAAAAATAATTACTTGAATGTAAGAAGTATTTATGAAACTATATAATTATTTTCATATTGTAACAATACGTTCGTGACACTAGTAATATTAATATGATTATTATTATAAAGCGTATTTTAAAGCAAAAACTTTTTAAACGATTTTAACGTACATATATTATATATAATAGATTTTTAAAATTAAAAAAATTCTAAATTTAAAATGAATATATAGAAAATTAAATAAATTAAATCGCATAGTAATGAAAGTATTTTCTTAATTCGTGTAAAAATATGCTGGATTAACAAAAACTCGTGACGAAAAAAACAAATAAGAAAATCTCAATCATAAAAAAAATATCTTTCTTTTAACAAAGTTAATATAATTACACAATAAAATATTTCATTTAACTTGAAAAAATTGAACAAAAAAGAATCCTTTTTTATCAAATGTTACAAGTTTTACAAGTCTTTTTCTTCATTTTGCATCGATGCAGCTATTTCAGCAAATTTCGTTACATAATCAACACTCGATTCACTAATTACTGACAGGTTTGAGGAAATGTTTGATCTATCGATACTAGTTATATCTCGTCCATTATTAATTTCATCTAAATGTCCTAATAGACTACTTAAAGAATAATCATTGATATTTTCTTCCAGCCATTTTGAAGAATCTGAACTATTAACTTCACGTAATAATGATGCCGGACTCATTGGGGGAATACTGATAAAATTTTGCACATCATTTGTATTTTCTTCTAAGTATTTCGGAGTGTGTATTGGAGATGGTAATGTTAACTCCATTATTGGGGATAGATCAGGCATACTACCGATCGACAAATTAGTGTCACCTTTAATGAGCTTATCTTCGTTATCGCAGATTTGTGTTATTTTAAAATCTTTTAAATCATTTTCATTATCATTGCTATCAAATTTATTTCTTGTAGTTTCATCTATTTTGTCTTTAGATTGTTGCAAAGGTGATGTAAGTTTATTTGTAACATTTGAATGATCTGGAGGTATTTGTAAAATTTTCGTTGGAAACGAATTATGTATATTCTCACATTTTTCTGTATTTTTGTTTTGTGTAACCTGAGAAAACTTTTCCCCAACACAATTTGATTCAGGCAGTGGTTTTATATTTTTTTGTTTTAAACCTTCTTCAACTGTGTTCATTTTGAGGATATCATATCTTGGGCTTACTCCTGGTTGTACAGGTAAAACTCTCTGAACAAACAAATGCTGAGATTTTAATACACTTCCACCCCGAACCATTTTTGATTGCTTAGACCTATATGCATCTATTGAAAATACTGATTTTCGATATGGCACCAATGGTTGCCGAAAAACTGAATTTGATTTTGTTTCATTGTTACTAATCATATTGTTTTTATTTAAAACACTACGGTTAACAAGTTCATTTTCCAATCTAACTTTAGAAAATTTATCACAAGTATGACCACAATAACATGATTTTTTTTTCATTCTTTCACTAAGGTTAGCTATTACTAATAGTTGTTTTAATTTATCACTTAAACCACTTGAATGAATTTTATTTATTGCTTTTAATTGCTGCTCGTGTTCCTCTGGAGTATTATTGGCAAACGATGCACCATTATATGACACTATTCCAGTACTAAATATAGTCTCATCTGATTGATGATTCACAATAGTGGTAGAACTATTTGCGTTAGGTTTATTATCAAAATTTTCATTAGTCCAATAGTATTCAAAAATTAGTTTGGAATCGCTTCCAAATACAATATATAAATCACCTAAAATTATCATTTATTTTAAAAATATTGTTTTGTTTCTTGTTAACTAAAACCAATTTGTTTTTTTTTTTTTTTGACTTACCCACTGTTATGTCATTTGCATTTGAAATGGTCCAGCCTTTTCGAACTCTTCGAATTATTTCTTCGTTAACCAACGGTCGTACATTACTCATATCCTTTTTCGAAATACTACTATCTTTCTTTTTTGATTTCTTAATTTTATTACTGCTTTGAGAATTGTTGTGATGAGTTGGGTTATTATTGTTGCTATTACTACTATTTACACTATTATTATTATTACTATTAAAGTTGCTGTCATTGGTAGGAACAGTAAGGGAACAGTTCATATTGTGGCTTACTGCGTTTAATGATGATGTCAATGATAAAGTTTTATCAATATTATTTACAGAAGTTGATAGATTTTCATGAGAGTTTGTCAATAGTGTTGATGTATGGCATTCTATATCACTATTACTATCTTGGCGTGAAAATTTAACATCACTGTCATCATTACTATCGCATAAAAGTTCGCCAAAATCTTCCTGCAAATTATTTTCTTCCAATTCGTCACCAGAACTTATGGGTTTTAATTCATCTTTTACAGAGGTATTTAGGTTTTGAAGATTAATATTGGTTTCAGTTTTAACATCGGTTTTTATATGAGTCATATTTTGTTTTTGAATTGTGTTTTCCGCTACGTTTATGTTTAATTCATTTTGTTTTAACTTTTTCATTTCAGGACTCCTCTTTTCACAATTACTTTCACTACGGTGACGCTTCAAATGACTTTTTTCATTACAAAGAATTTCACCTCGAACTTTGGCGCCGATCCGTTCTTCGTATGAATTAAGACAAACATTAAAACTACTCAAAACTTCAGTAATACTCAATAATGGACGATGAATTACTGCTTCCGCCGTTGGCCTTAAACATATGAAAGGTTCACTAATATTAAGGTTTAAACAGTTTGAATCGTTTATTGATAAAAAATTGGTGTCTATATTATGTGTAGGTGCTTTGTTAGCAAATATATTTGGTAAATTAATTGATTGCTGTTGAAGTTTTGTTGCTTCAATAAGTAATTTTGTTTCCTTCGTGCGCCACTTATTTTGAAAAGTCTTTATGATATTAATCAATTTTTTCTGGAGAGGTACGCTTGTTCTTACTAAAGGATTTTGAGCCACACCCTGAACTTGTAAAAAAGAGGACATAGTTGCTGGTCGTAGTTGAACTTCAACTTTCGGTGGTAATTTGATATCCTCTAACCAATCTTCCAACTGATTCAATCTTCTTAAAGCTTTGCAGGAGGGTGTTTTAATTCGAATATTTTTACCTTTACTTCGTGCTATAGCATACCCTTTATATACTAAATCTTTTATCTTCATATAATTTTTTTCAGAGACGAACTGCAGTTTTCGTCTCATTTCCCCATAATTTATTAAGGCATATAATTCTTGAACTGGCTTTTTAACATCTGAAAATAGATTGACTATATAAAGTTAGAAAAAGAATAAGAAACTCAAGAAATTACCGTCTGAAAATTTTATATATTTTGATAGTTTGTGAAAAGTTTGATAATATAGAGTTCGTATTTGTTCTTTTGTTTTAAAGCATTGATCAGTTGGACATTTTCTCTTTAATTTCATATTTATGTAGTTTGTAATAGCTTCAAAATCTTTTCCAAATTCGTTGATTGCGTCAAAAAAAAAATTGCGTTCTAGGTTACTCCAAACCACTTTATTCGGTTTGGTTTGCGAAGGCGTCTTCTGCAAAGTTTTTTCTTCTTTCGCCTTAGTTTCACGCTCCGTTAAAGGAGGAGTTGTTGGCCTAGCTGAATTTTCTTTCATTTTTTGTATAACACGCGCTGATGTCCTTACACCATGACAACTATCCATTATGACTGATCCCAAAAGTTCAGAAACCGATTCACCATTTTCCAATTTTATTTTATTTTCCATCATTGCTTTTAATTTATTGGCGGCAATATTAAACTGAGGACTTCTTCCTTGCATAGTAGAAATTGGTAAAGTTGTAGAAACAGTACCTCCAGAGGATTGAACTTCATCCTGACAGGAACTGGAATTTGATTCTTGCTTGATATTACCCGCCAATGAACTTGATGACGACGTTATAATTGCATCCATTATGGTGGATATACATATATTTATATTGCAATTATTAAGCTACCAATAGCTTAAGAAAGCTAAAAGAACAAGATTTTGATGTATTGTATAACAATTATTTGATTTAGTACGTGAAAAATTAGCCATTTGTTATTTTATATTAAAAAATCTAAAGCAATTTCACCAGCTCTTAATAATAAAATTCACAAAATGGCGACATTTTTTTCGCAATTTATTTTGTACGAAAACACTATAAATTTTTAATTTTTATCACATCTTCAATAGAAATTAAATTTCTTACCACAGTTAAGCTTAAACAGTACATTTATCATATTTAAAAATAGTAAACCGCTTATAAAATTACAAATTTAAAATTATCAAAATAAATATTTCACTTTTTTGTTTTGATATTTGTAAGTTGTTTCGTTAAATGTCATTAATCTTTTGAAGAGTTTGGCTGCAAAAAAAAACATAAATAAACTCTAGTCTGCAATTCTGTAAATAGGAAAAGTTTTCCACAACGGTATAAATGGAAGCGTTTAAAAGTTTTATTGATTTCCAATTGAAATTTAATTTTTATTTTAACGTCTGTCATTAATTAATTATAATTAGTGGAAAGCAGTTAGGCATTTTAAATAAAATAATAATAATGTATTTACATTTTATACTTATTATTATATACGAAGCTGTTACTAAGAAGCTTTTGGAGGAGCTCAACATCTTAAAAGCTGAAAATCTACACTTAAAATCTGCGCTGAATGCGAGTATAAACAACTGTGATAAGAATAAAAATAAAGATTCCTGCTCAAGTGACGAAGACCTCACTGGATTTGAAACTGACTCCAACCTAAAATGGGCTGCTCATTCAAGAAGAAGGAATAAGAAGAGAAAGGCTAACTCTTCTCCAGAAATCAGTAGCGAATTACCAAAACCTGACAACTCAAAAAAAGTAGAAACTTCGAAGAATAAGAGTGACGATCCCACAACGACTACAAATAGCAAAAGGCTTGAAGACAAAACTAACTCAGTGGCTCAGGATACGGCTCTTGATTATAAATCTAGAGAAAGGAAACCTCCACCTATAAATATTATTGGAATTGACGACTATAAAAAAATAAAAAATCTGCTAGTTAACACCACAAATAAATATAAAATCAAGCCATTAAACAACGAAGTCTGGAAAATTAACGCTGAGGCCCCTAATGATTATAGAACCTTGGTCAACAAGCTTGAAGAGACTGGTTATCAGTGGTTCACATATGAGAACAAAAATGATAGACCAATAAGGGTTATGGCTAGGGGACTCCACTGGTCATGTGATCGTATGGAAATCATTGATGAGCTACTTAGACAAAACTTCAGAATTGAAGATGCAGTTAACATTATCAAAAAAGAAAATCAAACCAAAGAAAATGGTGAAAAGGTCACCCATGTTAAAAAGTTTCCCTTGTTTATGTTAACATTCAACAAAAATGAGAGTATAGAGAAGATATATAAAATCGGATCTATTCTGGGCATTACTGTGAGAATTGAACCAATAAGGAAGAATACAAATTCTACTCCACAATGTAAACGATGCCAGGCCTACGACCACACACAAAAATACTGCAAAAAGACTCCTAGATGCGTTAGCTGTGGGAAAGAACATGACTCTGCTTCTTGCACCCTAAGTAGAAACTTACCTCCAACGTGTGCTAACTGCGGTGGAAATCACCCAGCGAATTACCGTGGCTGCGAAGTAGCGAAGGAATTCCAAAAGCGTAGAAATAGAGCTGTTGCTATCAAAAAAAGATCACAAAACAATAACCCAGAAAGTCAGAAAACTCTTCGTTTGGAGCACGTAGACCTACAAAAATTCGACATAAATGAGGTGTCCAGTGGTAGTCACATCAATGGAACAACGAAAACTTTTGCTCAAGTTGCCAAAGAAAATTTGAAGTCAAAAACTCCAGCGAAGATAACTTTAGAATTAATATATAATAAACTGCAGCAGCATGAAATATTAGAAAAAAGCTTATGCCAGCGACTAGATAAAATAGAAAATAAAATTAACATGATGCATTATAATAAATGACCCATACATTAAGAATAGCGGCATGGAATGCAAACGGATTACTTAATCATGTCCATGAGCTAGAGGTTTTCCTACATAACGAGGAAATAGACATTGGTCTAATTTCTGAAACACATTTCACTGACGAATCATATTTAAAAATACGAGGATATGAGTCTTATTCTGCTACCCATCCCGAAAACAAAGCCAAAGGGGGTTCATTAGTGCTGATTAAGGATAACTTGGAGCATCAGCCAGTTATTGCAATAGAAAAGGAATCCATGCAGATTGCTTCAGTTATAGTTAGAGCCAAAAACAAAAACATTAAAATTGCGGCCATTTACTGTCCCCCGAAACATAATTTAAGACAAACAGAATATAAACAGATGTTTAAAGAGCTTGGCAACAGCTTCGTTATAGGTGGAAACTTCAATGCAAAGCATGTCTTCTGGGGCTCCAGACTGACTACACCTAAGGGCAGGGCCCTCTTCGAGGTGGGCAATGAAATGAAATGTTCTTTTCTCTCTGCTGGAAGCCCAACATATTGGCCTTCTGATCCCAAAAGACTGCCTGACATCGTGGATTTCTTCATAGTTAAAGGAGTATCTGAAAATTACCTTAGTATAGAGGGCAAATACGATCTAAATTCTGATCATTCGCCAATTATATTAACTGTAAGTGAAACGATTATTTTGGTTGATGATCCACCGAGACTAACAAATAAATCAACTAACTGGACAGAGTTCAAAAACGAGCTAAATAATTCAATTAACCTTCGGGTTCCACTACAAAATGAATTCCAACTGGAAGAGGAACTCGACTTATTTGTCTCTAAAATTCAAAGAGCTGCCTGGAACAACACCACATTTAAAAATAAATCAACCACCAACAAAATAAACTATCCCATTGAGATTAAAAAACTAATCAAAGAAAAACGAAAAGCTCGCAAAACTTGGCAAATGTCTAGATCACCAGCGGATAAACAGAAACTTAACCTCCTAAGCAATAATTTAAAGGCACTACTAAAAGATATAAGAAATCAATCCATCTCAAATCGGCTTCAAAATTTGTCAGCTGAACAAGATACGGATTACTCGCTGTGGAAAGTTACCGGGTGTATCAAAAGACCACGAACTCAGAATCCACCTATCAAAAAAGACGACAGCTCATGGGCTATTTCTAATCAAGAAAAAGCAGACGTTTTTGCGGACTACTTAGAAAATATATTTAAACCCTTTCCAGGACAATTCAACTTAGAAGCTACCCAAGGGTGTACCTCACCTGAGACATTACAACTCCGAAGAATTACTCCGGGAGAACTAAAAAAAGAGATCAGCTCCACCAGAAATAAAAAAGCTCCTGGATATGACCTGATTACAAGCGAGGTCCTGAAACAACTCCCACAAAATGCTCTGAAAATGCTCGTTTTCCTATGTAATGCAGCTCTTCGCTTAAATTATGTTCCACGTCAATGGAAAACGGCAGAAGTTTTGGTTGTGATAAAGCCAGGGAAGCCAATAAATGAGATGACATCCTATAGACCTATTTCTCTCTTGACAATTATGTCCAAGATTTTTGAAAGACTTGTTCTTAATCGAATGAAGCCAGTAATTCAAGAAAGAAATCTTATTCCAAGTCACCAATTTGGCTTTCGATGCAAACACTCCACCATCGACCAGGTGCATCGAATTGTTGATGTAATTGAGAGATCGTTCGAGGAAAAACTTATAAGTACAGGTGTATTCCTTGATGTCGCAAAAGCTTTTGACAAGGTTTGGCACGAAGGCCTGCTATTTAAGATTGGGAGGGACTTGCCAGAGCCATTCTGCAAGCTACTTACTTCCTATCTTACTGACAGATGCTTCAGAGTTAAACAAAATGGCGAATACTCAAAACTAAAACAAATTAGAGCAGGTGTTCCGCAGGGGAGTGTCTTGGGACCTATTCTTTATCTCCTGTACACTAGGGATATTCCTTTAAAAAGCGAAGTATTTACGGCCACCTTTGCAGACGACACCGCAATTATGGTGACGGGAGATTCTGCTGAAGAATGTGCCTCCAAGCTCCAGGAATCTCTTGACGAAATTAGCTTGTGGACAAAAAAGTGGAAAATACAATTAAATGAAGCCAAATCTGTGCAGGTTCACTTCTCAAACCGTAGATTCAACCCGGTACCCGTTCAAATTAATGGTATTCAAGTGCCTATAGAAAACAATGCGAAATACCTTGGTATGAACTTGGATACAAGGCTCAGATGGAAGACTCATGTAAAAATCAAAAGGGATCAAATTAACCACAAATGTAGAAAACTGAACTGGCTAATAGGTAAAAATTCGGCTTTGAGCATACACAACAAAATTTCAATATACAATCAGGTCATAAAACCCATTTGGCTATATGGGATCCAACTTTGGGGGTGTGCCTCCAAAAGCAACATTGACATCATTCAGCGATGCCAAAATAAAATTCTCCGAGCTATATTAGGTGCCCCATGGTACGTAAAAAACAAGGTTATTCACCGAGACTTGGGAATTCCCTCAGTCGCAGAAGAGGCTAAAAGATTCGCTCGCAAACACTATGACAGGTTACTATTACACGAGAACATAAACATGAGAAGGATCTTTCAGGACATTGAACCTGTCAGGAGACTTAAAAGAAGGAAGCCGCACGATTTGTTGATATAGCAGTGAGGAAACGGAATAGCGTCTAAGATCGGGTAACATCACTGGATGCGTGCCCACCACCCCCAGATTCAAAAGTGAAAAATGAATTGCTAGATGAGTCACTCTGACTCAGTTGCAGTATTAACAAAGAAAAAAAAAAAAAAAAAAAAAAAAAAAAAAAAAAAAAAAATAGACAATACTACATTTATTATGTTATTAAGAGTGTTCCCTCACTTCTATAATATAGAAAACTATGCGCTGATTGTTAATTATAAAACTGAATAAATTCACTACTTTGTCCAATTTGAAACTAAATCATACATCTTGTGCGTAAATTGATATTCCTAAAACTTCTGTATAATTTCTATTCTTTTCGAAATTCCATTCACAGCATCATTTTACTGCAACTCAAAGCGGAATGAACCGCTTTGTAGCAAAAGTCGAACCAAGTTTTGTATGTAAAAATACGTTTTGCAAATGTGCTACTAGAGGATTGCAGTTTGGTTAATATTTGAAATCTGGAAAGAACAGAGAATCCTTTTACCTTCACATAAAAAAGAAAAGTTGGGAAGTGCTGCAGATATAGGGCAACTGGCTAATTTCTAGTATAAGGCACGTAAATTTAAAAATTTTGCTTAGCTTCTATACCGAAGAATACAATATAGGGGAGAGGAGCCACAAGAAAGGGGATACCAATCTGCTTAAATAAGAAGACTGGCTGCCAACCATAAAAGTATAATTTAAGTTAATCATATATATTCGATAGGAAACAATTTCAAACATTAGAATCAGGTTCGCAAGTCATCCAGTTATTTGAGTATGTGGAGCTCTCTTTTTCGGGTAAATGGTTGGATTTATCATAACAACTTGGAATATTGTCTGAACTACGAGGAGTTAAGTGGGGGAAGTTATAGTTTAAGCAATTTTGTATCAAAATATGTGAGTTTACAGCCTAATACAATTTTTTATATGAATATTCAAAATAACGTATATAATCGATTTTTGATACGATAAAAAACGAATTACGAATAAATCAAAATTATGAATTAATCAATAAATAAATTACATTTAAACAACATATAAAATTGTAAGAAGTATTACAATTTTACATATTACTACTTACTACTTACAGTAAATTAGAGGTAGTAATAAATTAGAGGTAGTAATTGAAGAATTGCAAAAAAAAATAAAAAAGCAGTTCTTATGATAAAAATTGTACTTATCCATAACATTGTGTATTCCTTACATCAAGATAGAAAATGTATTCACGTATGGGTGTAATTTACCATAATATTATTATGGTAAATATTTACCATAATAATATTATTATTTACCAATAATATTACTTGCAGTTCAAAATATTTAAAATAGTTTTAATAATATTACTATAAAAAATATTTACCATAATATTACTTGAAGTTTATTTATTTAAGCGTTAAATTTTTTAACTATAGAACTTATCTGAAGATTTGGCCACTTCTTGTTTTCTCAACAAATTCAATTTAAAATAAAAAATACTTTTATAGCTTCAAAGCAAGTGTTTGTTCTAAATATGAGAGTATTTAAAAGAACGTTTCTTTTAAATCAACATTATGTACAATTATGTGGATTTTTTTGTTATATTTATTTTACGCTTGATTTTAATATATTTGTTTAATCTGATGATTTTAATAGGATAAGTTTGAGCTTTGATAAGAGATATAAGCCTGGTTTCTTTTTTTCTTAAAATCTGAATACTTGAAGACAAAAACTTCACTCAGTTTACCTTTAGTGTAATTTGGTGTAAGAGTATTTTTCGAATTTTGTGTTTAACTATGTTAGTGCGCAAATATGAAGGTATATATTCCTCATATATAAAAATTAAAGATAAAAAAAACAAGTAAAAGTAAAGAAATTTCTTAATTTTAATTTCGGATTTTTTCATGTTTGTGTTTTGTATTTTTGTTTTTCCATTATTCTTAAAAACTAAAAACTTCACATTTTTCACAAAAAATATAATAAATTAAAATTTAAAAATAATCTAATTAAGTTTTATGAAGTCGGCCTTATTCTAAAGAGAAGAAATATAATTAAAAATTAAAATTAATATGTAAGACTACATTTAAAAATACGACTTTAAATTATAATTATAACCTTTTTTAATAACAAAATTTATTAATTATTTTCTTATGCTTATAATATATTTAATTAATTTCGATTATTTCGATTTTTTTCTTTACATAGGTTTGCATATATGTACATTATTGTACATTATTGTACACATTTTTTTTATATTTCGATTTAATTGTAGTTATTTAATTTTATATTAATCTCATCTATAATTTAGTGCATTTGGTTTGCAATTACCATTACAATTTACAACGGACCAAATCCAATCTACATAATTAGGTACTTTGGTATATATTCCAAATTTATTACGTTTAGCACAACCATCGCCAAAACTTGTTATGCCAAATATTGTCCATGGATGATTTGGTTTTGTTCCATCACGGCATAACAATGGTCCTCCAGAATCACCAGCACAGGTATCAATACGACCACGTTTATGACCGGCACAAAACATATTATTTGTTATTGTATAATCTTTATATACATTTTTGCAATTTTCCATTGGTATTATTGGAACGTCAGCTTGATGTAATACACTTGTACCAGCTTGATCACGATTACGTCTTTTACCCCATCCAATTACAGTACACTGAATGTTTTTTGGTAATCTTTGATAAGGTTTAGGTAAACATGAATAGCTTATATATGTTGTTGAATTAACCGGTCTTGGTAATCTAAATTTAAATAATTAATTTTAATTAAAATTCAAATAATCTAAATTTTCTTTTATTTATACCGTAACAGAGCAATATCACTATCAACTGTTTTTTTGTCATAATTTGGATGCTTGAAACTTCTGACAACACGATATTCGATTTCTGTACCATCATTAAAATCTAAATTATGTTCACCAATACGAACATGTAAAACTTTGCGTACACAATGTGCTGCAGTGATTACCCACTGAGGCGCTATTAATGTGCCACCACAAAATGCCTCCTATGTGATTGAATAAAGAAATATACGAGTATATTATACAAATTTTTACTATTGTTAAATGTTGTAAATATGTTTTTCTTACCTTAAACCTATTGAATATTACTACTTGCCATGGCCATTCACCTTTTCTCGATGCTTTGCCGCCAATTATTTTTAGCATATTGTACATATTTCTTCGATTATTTTTTATTGGTGCTAAACCACATTTTAATTTCATTGGTTGATATTCTGGTCCACGGTATCCTTTACCACTAATTATGTAATCATTGAAAACTGAATTTTGGCTTGCTACATCCTTTCGACTTGATGCCATCGGTCTTAAATCATATGGGCTTGTTCTTTGTCCTTGAGCTTGAAGCCATTGCTGACAAAAACTGCCTTCTGTATAACAATAAGCGATTTCTCGTAAAACTTCCCTGCCACAAATATCACGTATTCGACATTTTCTAGTTAAGAAAAAAAAATTTGTTGATTAATTGCAACTTTTTTTAATTTTGTGGACGTAAATGAATCTTTATGCTTTTGATATTTTATTCAAAACTCACTTATATCGCCGTGTTGTACATTTTGTTGAACATTTTGACCATTCACTCCATTTTGAATATGCTCTTTTGTGTTTTGGAGGCGGCTCGTACACAGCTTTTTCTTGAGGAATCCTTGTCATATTTAATGAATGATCATATTCATTATCAAAATCTATGTCATCGTATTCAAAGCTGGTTGGCACTTCTTGTTCATCATATTCGGTGTTTGTATTTGATAACGGAGGATTCTTTAAATTTTTCGTTTCGTTTTTATTTTTTGTGTTGTTACTTTTTTTTGAATTCCTTGGCCAAAAGTGGTCATCACTTCTTCGCCATTGTTCTTTACGTATTGATTTGATAATTTTTCTATTATAAATTGAATCAACATCAAAATCATGTTGATCTTTATCATCATCTTCATTACTTTCATCGCTGTTATCATTGTTATTTTCTTCACTACTGCCATAATTGTCTTGATTGTGAAATTTTTTGTTTCTATTTTTCCGTTTCTTCCTTTTATCTGGTTTACGTCTTTTAATTATGAAAAAATCAGCTTCATCATCAAAATTACTGTTAGTGCCACTGCCTAACGGGGATCTGCTTTTTTTGTTTTCATCAATTTCTTCGTATACAGGTAACCAATAATGTGGTTTTTGTTTTGTTGTTATTCGATTGTGATGATGTAGGTTTGTTTTTTCTTCGTTACTATGAAGTGTAATATCACGAAAAGTTGTTTTAGATTTTTCTTGAGTCTCTAGCTGTAAATTTGGGCGGAATATATCTGTATGACGCTTATGGCATTTTTTTCTGCAATATAAAAAGGAAAAGTTTTTTAAAATTTTTTTACTGAGTGAGTATCATAAAAATATTTACAATAATGCACAATTGAAAAAAACTTACTTTGAACATAATTGTTCTTCAATATGCTTTGTATAGCCGCATTTTCGTTTAACTTTACAATATCTTTCCCGACGTTTCTTACATGAACTATCGCAAATACCCCATGCTGTCCAAGGTGTGAATAGCGGCCCTGTTTTATGCCGGCCGCTCCATCTGTTTGGATGTCTTGCATGGGAAAAAATATGAAATGTCCTGTCTGTATCTAAATCTAATACATCCTTTCTTGTTCTATTTTGGTCTGGGTCAAGAGATTCATGTATTGTTTTTAATATTTTTGTTTTGGCATCTTGAACGTGTGTTGTCTGTAAAGTTAAAAGATAAAAAAGTTTTTAATAACTAATAGGATAACTTGTAACTAGTGCGCATTTTGTTACTCACGACTATTTGATTTAATATTAATGCATGTATGCATGTTTCAATAATTTTAGTGTCTAAATTGAATTTAACTTATTTTATTAGGTGGTATTATAAAATGATCATAGTTTCCTATTTATAATATTATAATGTCTGGGCTTAATTATGCTGTTATGTTATAATGTTGAAAAACAAAGAAAATGCGTAATATTGTAATTGTATTGTAAACAAAAAAACTGCAGTTATCATCTTATTACTGAAATAATTCATTTTACTATCGAATTTGACATTTATAAAAAATTTTACATTAAATATAAAATATTTATTCGAAAATTATTTAATTTTCAAAATTATCATGTAGACAAAGTAGTGCAGCATTTTTTCCGAAAATTTTATGTATACTCGCTTAAAATACTTACGTAAGTACTGACATACACACATTTGTATTATGTTTGAAATTAATTAATGTAAATTTTCATACTTGAATTTTATTATAATGTTGCAAAAACTTGTAAAATTCAAATATTTAAAAATTGCAATTGACTTCGTGGGTATTCTAAATCAAACGAAATTTTTCAGTATTTTTATTATTTTGAAATTTGATATCAAATACTCGTACAAGAAAATTCGGAAATAAAATTTATATGAAAAGTGAAAACGCCAAAAAATGGCACACAAATACATAAAAGACTTTAAATACATACATACAAATACTCATATACATATACATATGTAGGTACTCATAAATTTTTGTTTTTGCTCGTAATTGGAGCATTTTTTTAAATTTTTTTAAAATGCTAATTTTGTAGAAAAAAATACCAAACAAAATAAAATCTTTCAATTCAGATCCGTAAAATAGATTAGGGTGAAGAACAATAAGTCATAAAATTTTCATTCATAGCGACTTGATTTTCATTCACGAGTTTTTTTTTATACATAGCTGTTTCTGCTCTTTTTATTCTATATTTTTTATCTTTTTGGTTTTAATTTTTAAATTTTTTTTATAATTTTTCAGTTCTTTATGCTAGATGACGTCACGGCCGTTTATTGACAATGACAAGGTCATGGTATTTTTACTGGAATAGCATTTTATCCGTCATATTTTTTTCTAATATAACTGTGAATGTATAATGTATATATGTATGTATAGTAAACAAAATGTATGAATGGTTTTGGAAGTTTTTAAGTTTTCTTTCTATTTCTGAATTATATTATTTTACATGAATGTACCACATATGCGACTTCATATCACTTACGTACATACAAATACAGAATTTTCTTAGGGTTTTCTGTAAACGTTTTGATAGTTTACGATTATTACAATACGAGTATTAACATTTTGTTCCAGTATGCTTACATACTTACTTTGCCTTATTGTAATAAAAATTCCATAACTTTTATTTAATAAGAAATGCAAAATTTAATTTTCCCACATACAATATTTAAATACGCATATAATGCTAAATACATATATACATATGTGTTCTGTTGTGAAAAATTTGGTAAAAGAAACTATTTAAAACTTACGTTTATATTGTACTGATTTATACTGAAAAAGGAATTTGAAATTTTAAATTAGTTTAGATTAAGTTAAACATGAAAAGCTTCTCCAATATACATGCATACGTTCCAAAGATGGTAATTTCATAATTTTCGGTTTTTAAAATTAATCTTGGTATTTAGTTAGTATTAGGAATATTAATGTAAATTAAATGCATTAAAATATTTCAAAATCTAATCGGCTCAAATCCTTTCAAATTATAAAACCTACTTTATAGCTATAGTACAAAAACTGAATAATTTTACTACATACTTATACATATATATACATAAGTACATGACAATGTACATAAAAGCACTTTATAATTAACGGGTTACCTGTCCCTAAAACGCGGTCTCTAGGGTCTTGAAAAAATCCACGTTTTAGGAAATCGCGTTGTAGGAGACTTCAACTTCAAAGTTTGCTTCCTACTTAAAAAAAATTATTTTTATAATATGTTTTCATTATATGGAAAAATATATTCATTTCACACCAATTTTTTCACAAAATACAATATAAAAATATTGTTTCACAAATGTTTTAAAGTTTGGTTGTGATTCTCACGACTTCTTTATACGATGACTAACGAGACAAACATAATTCTCCAATAAAAATCCTTTCAAAATTTAATTTTCGACAAAAAAACCCTTTTTTTATTTAAAAATGTGTGTGTAAATGTTTACAATCAAATTTTGGTAGTGCTACGATGAGACAATATACACACAGAACATATTTTGTTAAATTAAAGTACATAAGTATAGTGAAGATCAAAGGGGGTAGTTAACACAATTTATTAAATAATTCAAAATCAAAGTTTTTTAGTTTTTTTAGAATATTATTTAAAAAAAAAATTATTAAAAATTGCGTTTTATGAGTACAGCGTTAGAAGAAATTTTCCGCGTTTTACGAACCGCGTTGTAGCCAAACCGCGGTATAGAAGTACCGTGTTATAAGAGTCTTACCATTGTTATCGATACTCTTCGATTAACATAAACGCGTACGATAGCTTAGCTTCGTATTTCTCTTACTGAAATTTCGAAATTTCAGTAAGTGAAATATTTCGAAAAATAGTTCATATTTCGAAAAATTAAAATTTTTATTGTATTTTTTAAAAATCCAGCGGAAAAGAAACTTTATTTTGTATATATAGGCTTAAATCTGAATTGTATTCAATGTAAGTATTATTATTATATAATTATGTAAAATAATTTAATTTATTAATTAACAAAAAATTTATCACTTGCTTAATTGTATACAAGTATTTATTAAAAGTGTTATATGCATTTTATTATTTTATTTTATTATGCAAAAATTGCACAATATTTGCTTGATTCATTCATATTTCATTGTACTTTATGTTGTAGATATTTAATAAATTTTAAGAACAGCATCAATATAGTATTTTAATAATAAATAAAATTATTATTGTCCAAATTAAAATTTAAGTTTCTTAACAAATATTACATAAGTTTTGCAACATTTACACGGACACACAAAAAATGTGGAATAAACAATAAATTTTTTTACTTTGTTAATAAATTTTGATAAACTTTTGAAAATAAAACATGATATTTTTGATAATAGGGTGCCTATTAAATTTTATTTATCTGTTGAATTACACTGAGTAGGCCCTACAATATACTATGAGTATTGAACTATTAATGAATCATTTTCAAACAAAAATAAAATTATTTTTTTATATTGTCAATTAATCATTCTTCTTCCTCCATCTCTCGAATGCGCTTAATTTAAAGAAAACTGAAATCGTCTGTGTCATGAAAACTCTTTTTTCTTTTTCTTTTAATTCCTCAATGTATAGCAACGTTTTAGATTGTCATCATATTTTCATAAAGGTCAGTCGTATTTAATTTGCCACATGATAAAAGTTTATTTATTTAAATCTTTTTTCGAAATATCAAAAAGACACTTAAACAAAGACCCATGCTTTCTATTCCTATATAATTTTTTTTATTTGAAAACAACAAAGGTAAACAATTTGTTTTAATATTGTCAACACTGTCATCATAATGTAAATTCCTCTCAAAAATAAATTTAATTTTCTTCTATGTTTTGCCTTATTAGTTTTTTTTAATTTTCTTAGTGAATTTCTCTGGATTGCTTTTATTGCATCTAAATTATAAAAGAAACTTTGGAAAATTTTTTTGAAATTTTTGAAATATATTTTAAAATTGTTTTTATTCATAAATAAAATTTCTTCTACTTGGATGAAGAGCATTAAATGCAAGGGTGTTATGGTATTTACTTTCCATTCATAATATGATTTTAGAAATTGTGAAAAAGTTTATATTATATTCTAACTTTAGCACATCGGAATTGTAACGAAATTTTTATATTAAAAGTATTCGTCATCCTAAAAATTGTATGTGATAGCTCAATTGTATGTGATAGCTGATAGATAGTTTTTTGAATATAGTGAGCTAGTTATATTTACAAAATTTTTCCAGCATGTGCGATAAATTAAAAGGTTCATAAATCCGAATAAAACCAATGGTTTATCAATTGTACATTATTTCCTTTGATTCGTATTCTACATAATACCAAAATTATATTCTGGAAGAAATCATCCTTGCATGCTTTTAGCTACCGTAAGTTTATTATTTTCATAGAAATTGCCATTTCGTTATTATGATACTTGCTTATTGCTGTTTGACTTTAGAAGAAGAAATTTACTATCTTTCTCTATTTGAGAAATCAGAAAAATATTTTAAGGTTTTAATACAATAAATTATTTAAAATAGCACATTTAGCGTTTTAAGGAGCCATTACTATTTTAGAAAAGGAGTAAGTGAGTATCAGCTAAGTAAGTAAGTTGATACTTTCATCAAAGTGTCAACTAAAAAACAACTTTTAATAGTATTCTTTGGAATCATAATTTTGCTTTTAGTATTTTACTTTTTAAACAAAATAGTTTTCATTTATAATGTAATTAAAATTTAGCTATGATCATCGGTTCGAATACTTTTAGAGAAATTAGTCGAATATCAACATGTTCATATAAACATAAAGATAACAAAGATAAATATAAAACATTTTATTTTGTTGCTTAAAATTCATATTGTTATTAACTGCTGAATCTACAAATATGGAATTTTTGCTATTATATTTAGAATAAATAAAGAAACTAATGAGTAAGCAATTAATATTAATTTACGTTTTACATTTTATGTACATATTGTGAATGTATGTGTGTAAATGTAAATTGTTGTAATATTATAAATAAAAGTCCACTATAACGCATTCAAGTGTTTATTCAATTGAAGTTATTGAATTTTGAATGAAAATTATCAAAAAATTTTCACCGTTATGCAAAAATCAAAAATATTTTTTAAACATTTCAAGTTATATGCAGGCATTATTAATACATAGCAATTTTACACAATCATAATT